GCATCACTTCATAAACTTGTAAAACTTCTTGCTTATCTGCATTTTTAGAGGGAGGTTTCTAAGGGATATGTAACAAAAAAGCGTAAGACTTACTGCTTGTCTAGCTGGAATTAATTTTTGTGCGCTAGAGATCTAAATTCTTTTTCCCAAATGGTTATGTCATCCCAATACTATTTATTATTAATCCATTCTTCCCTTACTGATTTGAAATGTTACTTTTATCCTTTACTGAATAATAATTGTTTCTGGATTCTCAGCTCTATCAGATTTATTTTTGGCATCAGGCACCTGAGTTATTCTTAACTTGGTTCATTGAATGGTAGCTGATTTTGTCAGCCAAGATAATGAGTGTGTTGCTTATGAGACAATAGATAATATAACTCATGACACACAAATTCTATTCTAGTTAAGTTTGATTTAAATCAGTTCCATTATCTACAAACTTAAAGTATTAAAAAAATGTGTAAACTTCTCTCTTTTAGGGGACACCTCACAGGCTCAATGTAGAGATAGGAAGCTTTTCACCAAGTCCCCTCTTTCTAAAAGTATTGTTTGATGTAAAAGCTTTTTGGTGATTTAAAGTTGTTTCCTGGCAATGTCAAAGGGTTTCATGTGGCCTGGCAATATTACTCTCGATTTACATGAACCTTCCATTCAACAGATTATATGAGGTCCACAAACTATGACATATACTTTGAATAAACAATGGCACTTTAGTTTTCTTTTACATTGGATGATAGCTCCTGGAGCGCACAAATCGTGTTCCACTTACTTTCTATCCCCAAACATCTAGTACAGGGTGCAGCACCTGAATTGAAATGGAATTGAAGTGCATTTCAACAGCGTTTCTATAAAATAAAAAATAAAACCCAAACTTCTCAAAAACAAAACCTTGAGGGGATTTACAAAGTTACACATATTTATTTTTTTCTGTCCATCAGGCACCTGATTAAATTATATATTATATATTTTAGTAGAAACACTAGAATAAGACACTGACCTGATATTATGTCATGCCAAGTGTGGGAAAAATATTCACTTGCTGTCCATGACGTCCTCAGGTATGATCTACCTATAGATGCGCTGCTTGCCTGTGAAATGATGATAAGAACTGTGATCTGGAAAACAGTTGGATTGCAGTGGGCAAGAATACTTTACGGTTGTTAGAGAGAAAGACGAAAGGGTAAAAACTTTTTTTGGGGGGGGGAAATAGAAGCGTGGCATTTGCCTTGTTTTAAAATTCAGTTATTTTTATGATCTAAGTTAGCACACCTTTTCCTTCCCTCTTTTAAAGGGATAACTTTGGCTTCTGTGGCCGGTGTTAGTCCATAAATTTAGATGCTCTGTTTTATAGCTCAGCCCATGACATCAGATCATGGGAAAATTCTCAAAATTGCCTAATCTTTCAGTTTCCCTGGTTAGAAGAAGAAAAAATAAAGCTAACTCATTAAGTATGTTGAACAAATTTTATGACCAAGTAGACTGTGTCAGTGCAAAATACCAACTTCATATTTTCCTATTACCAATCCTGAAAGACTGTCTCACTTTTATGATGATTGTTTATTTTTAAAAAAGAGGTCTATGACCTTAACTTGCTTTGTATAGTGCCTCACTTAGCAATTTTCACCTGTGAACATAGCATGTTATACCAATTGTAGCCCACTAAGGAAATCATTAAATAGCACTTGGACAGTAATATTCTCCACTGACAAAGAATACATACATTCAAAGGACAGATCTTGCTATAGAAATTCTGCGACTTGGCATAGAAATACACGTTAACAGGGACGCATCCTAGAATGCTGAAAAGGGGAAAATAGGGAGCAAATATCCGTCACTAAACAATAAATCATTAGTATTGCTAGAAAATAGAAACATGAGTAGTACTAGGTTTGAGGCAGGAGGAGGTGGGAGAAAAGGTTGTTTTGCTTAGGCAGCGGACTTACGGGGAAGAAAGAAGCCTTCCTGAATTGAACTGTCAAAAGAATGAAGAAAAGTTGAAGCGAGCAAACCTATTTTGACTTGGGTTTCAGTATCTGCAATGGGGCCAGAACCCGTATTGTTCTTTTTGGGGGAGGGATAGCCCTGAAAAGACAGGCTTTGGACTCACGCTTCTGGGCCACTCTAATCCTAGTCACCATAAAAGGACTAAATTTGGTTTACCTATAGGGCCGAATTTATAGAGGCATAAATGTGATAGCCAGGGCTCCTCCATTCCCCTTACCCTTTTGCTAAATCCGTGAAATTCCTCTACACAGACTTCCATTTCAAAGAGGTATATGGCTGTTGGAAGGAAAAGTTTTGACTAAAACATTGTTAAGACTTGGGGTTCTCAGATCTTTCTTTGGAAGCAGAAAAAATAGGCACCTGACGTTGGGAATATAGAAAGATCCAAGACAAACTTCCTAATGAGCATCACAAATCTGCCTATTTATCATTTTGTAATTTTGCTTATTATTTCTGGATTATTGTCTCTCCTAAATTACTTCTCCACTTCCAGTTTCAGCTCACCAATCTACTGCCCATCATTGATAACTAGAATGATTAATTTTTCTAAAATGCTTATCTGATCACAGTCCCACTGCCTAAAATCATTCGATAAATTATTTTTGCTCTCGAGGCCAACCTACTAAGGTGGATGAGTCAGCCTGCATGTCTGTCTCCTGGGAAACAATTCTGACTATCCAAAAGAGCTTTGCTTATGCCCTCTAAGCTTTTGAGCACTTTTTTCTTATCAGGTGTCACCTCTTTAGGGAACCTTCCTTGACAAAACCATCCTTGACTGTTTTTATTATTGCATTGTACATGTTGGTTTGTGTATGACCTCAACTGTGAAATCTTTAGAGCTGGGCTTTGTCCTCGTAACAAAATTATCAAAGAGAACTGAGTCATGTCACAAAGTGCCTGCCACTGAGCCTCTTTAAAAAAAACAAAAAACTCGTGACTTAAAAATGTATTCCCTCCAAATCAACTGGTACTTTATTTCTGGTTCTACAGAGATAAATTCCCATGAAGAACAGGTATTTTTGTTACTCTAATTCTAAGGACTTCCCCTCGCTCTTTTTAAAAAGGTCTAGGAGTGACTAGAGTTTGGAACTTGGAGAAACATCACTCTCTCTGATCTGTGACAATTCTTTGTGAATAAAAGCAGTTATGATTACCCATCTCTGGGGACTTGATGGTAAAGCATTCTGTCTTAATACTTCTACTTAACTCAGAATGTAACAGAATTGGAAATCTCCAGTTATTTTCAACATACAGCTGAAGTAACTATACTTAATATCTCATAATCCTTTTTTGGGAGGGGCATAGCAAGCTGTAAAATCACATCATTCACGACCAAAAATAAATTTTCTTTGGGGAAAGTTAGGTTTGTATTGCAGACACATTGCCATTATCAGAAACAAATTTTTCACTTGTGAAATTTTCACTTGTGATTTTCTGGTTGGCTAAAATAAACCCACAGAAAACTTATGTGGCACCTTGGTCTGTGGACATTACACTGAGAAAATTATAGATGGCATTCCAATGGCATTCCTGTAAGACTGTGCCCCCAAATTGGCATCTCAATAAATATTCCAATTATGTGGAGAAAGAGACCTTAAATCTCCTGAGGTCAAACTTAAATTTACTTACGTTCCTAAACAAACTAATCACTTGGGGGAATGTCTGATATTGTTCCCAAAACAGTGAATCTGATTCTGAAAAATAAGCTTTCTCACCTTTAAGTCTGTCCCTCACTTTGGGGTGGGGGCATGCCTCATGAGAGTAGGTTTGGATCTAAAGGCTTCCTTTCACAGCTGTTTACAGGAGTAGATATTGGGGAGGGGAATCCACAGGGAAGGGGGGGCGGATATGGGAGAGCAAAGGACAAGCACTATTGTAATTTTGTATTTTTTGAACACTGCACCATGAGTTACCTTCTTGTATTAAACTGAAAAGTTTATTAATATTTAAGGCTCTTGATACATATTGCCAAACTACTTTCTGGAAGTACATAAGAAAGCTTGCCTTTTCTACATTAGGTCCTATTTAAAAGACAAATGACAATTTGTTAAATATTAATTTGCATTTCTTAGGTTACTGGAGGCTGAAACTTGAGAAACTGCCATTTCTTCTGTGAACTACCCTTATTTTCTGTCCTGGTGGTTTTTTTAAAAATGTAGTAGTAATAATTGCTTTTAATTGCCATTTAAAATTAATGTATCAATCATTTCCTTTGTGATTACTTTGTATTTATAAAGTGTTTTTCTATCCCAAGAACCAAAATTTGTATTTTCACAAAAAAATCTCAACCTTTCCTAATATTAGTTTTTCTTTGCCTGTATTAAATATCACACTGTTTGCATGTGAGGGGCATACCCGGTGAGCCTTCCGGTTAACATTCCAACATGGAAGTTTCATTTTCTAACTCATCTGTGGGTGACTCTACTTAAAATCTCACTCCACATCTATAGGACTGCTTCTTCAAGGATATGTCATTAGTTCCTTAGTTACTTCTAATGTTATTCGTTAACATTAAAATTGTTTATATTCAATATACCAGCACAACTGGAATATAAAATATTTGGTGATGCCACATACACTCCAATTTTATGCATTTAGTTTGTAGCTAAATCTAATGAAGTTTTAATTTTAAACAGATAAAGAACACTTATTTATCCTCTTTTAACAACATGGAGAGCAAACTATTGGTTCTCATTAACTCCTGATCAGCTAGCTGGCTACAGACACAAAGCATGTTAATTTTCTACAGGCACCTTTCTGAATTCAAGTAAAGTTTCGGTAGACAAGGGTTTTACTTAAATGTCACGGACATAATATGAATCTTGAGTACAAATATTGCTCACCATTCTTGCATTCTTTAAGTTATTTTACTTTGAAAATTTAAGAACTATCATTAAGTCATTAATAACACAGGTTTTCATTTAAGGAATATCCTGAACTGTGAAAATACAAATCTAATCAAATTAAATTTTGAACACATATAGAGCCAAATATTTCAACAAAACTGCAGTTTAATTTCAGAAAATGTGTTAAAATATATATTTATACATCAATTTCTGACATACACTTAATGTGTTAGTATACACAAAATGATGCTTTCTCTTGAAACTGTATTTATGAAATGTACATTTTAATTTAAATACTCAGTATACACTGCACTTAATCTGCATGTTGCATTTATTAAATACATTAAAATCTGCAATGTAACAAAACGTTTTCTGCATACGAAATTCAAAACACCATTTTAAATGAACAAAAGATGGCTCACTTCATTTTTTTTTTTTTTTTTTACAACTAGTGTATACAGTACACTAGCTCAGCTCCACCATACTACCTGTTCGTTCTTTTTTATTTGACATTGTTCACAGACTAGTACATATTACAATAAGAGTGCTGGATAAAAACATGAGGTACGAAAGTGGTTCAAAGATTATAGGTCATGCAGATCATGCTAGACAGCAAAGAAAATTGTGACCGAGAAAACACTAAATAAAAATACATAAAGAATGTGCATTATAAAAAAAACTCCATTACACAGCTTTGCTTCTTTGGTTACAAAGTAGGTTGAACAATTTCACAGCTTTTTATTCCCACCCGAAAAAAGAAAAGTCATACGAAATGTCAAAAAGCAGAGGAATCGTGGCAATTTCTCTATTAGAAAGTAGAAACAAATGAACAAAGTTTTCTTCATCAAAATAGCCCAATTATTTATTATATCACAATAACTGGTGACTACCTGTACAGTTGCACTATGTTCTTCATACTTACACTATACAAAATTTACATTCAAGCTGGGTCTGTACTACTGAAAATAAATACCGAAGGTAAATTGCCATTAGTGTTAGAAATATGCCAGGATTCTTTTGTTCAATTATTGCCTAAACGTTTTATCTATTAAATGCAATCCTGTCTTTCAAATCCTTTACTGATACTTATAATAATTCAAAAAAATTAAAAAAGTTCTGTGACATTGTTCATGTACATTATGAAAATAGCAGCCCTGTAATAAATAAAACACAAATAAATGAAAACTTACGTAGGCAAATGTTACTGATATTGAAAGAAAAGTGGCTCTTTAGATGAACTGTTATTTATAATGTGATAGGAAGGCTCAGGGTAAATCCATGGATAATAGGAAAAACGGGAGAGCCACCAAAGCTCTTAAAAGACCCCACTCATGCGCACCAGGTAAAACGCAGACTTTGCTTGCTTTAATAAACCCCATCTATTATTCTCCTTGTGTACTGATGACATGAAACTGGACATCAACAATGCTGCATGACATCTCAAAGGGAGGAAAAGCTCCTGCAGAATGATTGTCTAATACTGAAAAGGCCAAACACACAACCGAAGCATGGCTACTTGCTTTCGTATAAAGTGGAAAGAATACCAGTGGCACACAAGGATAGATTGCTTTCAGTTTTTTTTCTTAATGAGGCAAGAAAGCTTTATGCTGAGGAGACATTCGGCTGCTGTGGAGGTTGCGCTGGCTGCGGAGGCTGTGCTATCACTGCTTGCTGTTGAGAAGTGCTACCAGGATTGGCCTGTTGGGCTGGGAGTTGGGATAACTGATCATTGTTTGAAAGAGATTTTAACAGTGCATTTTCTCGTTCAAGTAAAGAGTTTCTTTCAACTAATTCTTTTATTTGTTCCTTTAGAACTTCCACTTCTTCTCTTACTGCATACATCAAATGGCTTTTCACCAGATCCTGTGAAAAACAAAATGAGCAATGTCAAAAAGAGTAAAGAGAAAGGTGTTGCTATTTGGTTCTGGCCTACCTGGTGCCTTATTAAATACGAGGCATTTTTATCTTAGTTTTCCTGCTCTTGCTTTTACCGTTTCTACTGTATCTTGACTGGCCCTAAGGGAGGTAAGGGTGGGAAAAAACCCAGTTTCCAACTAGGCAGCAAGCCCAAGGATCTTTTTTTTTTTTTGATTTTATTTATTTGACACAGAGAGAGAACAAGCAGGGGGAGCAGCAGGCTCCCCGCTGAGCAGGGAGCCAGACAAGGGACTCGATCCCAGGACCCTGGGATCATGACCCGAGCCGAAATCAGACGCTTAACCGACTAAGCCACCCAGGGGCCCACCCAGGGGTCCACCCAGGATTTCTTTTCAAAGTTTGGAGTGATTTCCAAAAATACTAGGTTCCTTATATTGTCAATTTCAAGCTCAGAATTAAAAAAAAAAATTTAAACTCACATGCTTAGAGGTTAGACCAAGAGAACAAAGGATATTAAAATGATATTAAACTAGTTATAGCATTTCTTGAAGAGATAAAGTGACCTACAATTTCCAACTCTAAAACCTTAAAGAAAAATAGTTTGTGACTAATGGTCCTTACTTACAGTCTATAGTTTTAATAAGCCTTAATCAAAATATTTTATATAATATGAACAGAGTACCTTTAAGGGAACAAAAAATTGATAGTAACAGCAGAAATCAGAAAAAGATTCAACAAGTTCTATTTATTAGAGCTGACTAAAACGGCATTTACAAAAACGAAGGCTTCCAGCTAAAGTTTTCATTTTAATACTCTTTGCCTATAAACTATTTTTGATGCTGAAATACTTGAAGGCACATAATGCATTCTGATTATGTATGCCCCTCAAAATGGCCCTGATTTATCAATGGCAATGCATGAAATGTGAGATGTCCAAATGGGGGGAAATATGAACTCCGCTGGTATTTCCAGACTAAAAATTCTCCATGTTCTAGCATCTTCAACTAAATCTGATTATCAAAAAACATACGCTGGTTATCTTGTTTTAAAGAAATGAGGTGTTTGTTTTTTTTAGAATTGATAAAAACCAAATGCTTCCTACAACCAACAACCTATGAAATGAGAGAACTATAAACTTTTACTTACCATTGCTTGTTCTATTTTGTTGTCAATGGCTACACCACCTCCCCCAGATGCACTGGAAAAAATTAGAATATTTCATTAAATTATTCTAAAAATGTAATCTTCTAACTTTTAAAATAAAAACATTTGTTTTACCAAAACCAAAAACAGTAACTTAAAATAGCTTATTAAGTCTATTCTCATAATTTCAGTATACTCAAAGCTCTTATTTTGAAAATCAGGGATCTCAGTAAATAGAAGACTTCCAAAAATCCTTTGTAGGATTTCTAATTTCCCTATGACATACATACGCTACTTTAAAAGCAACTCCCAATTCTATTCAGGAGCTCTTAACTCCGTGAACTTTTAAAAAGATACCTTTTGAATGAGCAGTACACTCTCTCCATCTTTTAAACTTCTTCATTTACCAATTACATACTCTAATTGACGTTCATGTGGAAATTCCAGTGGTCACTTATTGCATTAAAATTCAGATGATGACTTTCCTCTATAGGTTTTACTTCTGGTTTAAAAATTTCTAGAACCAGCTTCTAAAGGGCCTTTGGGCAAATGATACTTGCAAGGTTGGTTAACACCCATCTCAACATTCTGGCAAATCTTCGTACTTTCATTGTCGGTTACTAGCTGGCAAAAATCACCTACAAAGGTATGTTGTTTAGACCCGTTTTTCCTGGGAATATTTGGAAGTAGTCTAGCTAGTAAGGATATCCCAAGTTCAACTATCACTTTAGCATTTGTATGATAATAACAGAAGGTTCAATAATTGTCCTCTTAAATAGTAAGAATAGTGAATATCTATATCCTTTTCTTAGCATTTTTGTAAATTTTGAAGAACAGTTATTAGATTTTCTTGTAAAGACAAACCTGATAATTTTAATCTACTTTATCAATACAAAGAGGTCTTTAACTGATATCAAACTTTGCAAAATACTCTTCATAAAGTATATTCTAAGAAAATTTAGATGCTAATATTATTTGAAGGCTATTCTATTTTAGATGATGTGGGCCCTCAGACTGGTATATATTGAGGCACAGGAATATCCTGTCTTAGGTGGTGGTGCCTTTTACACTGTAATCTAAGTAGATCTGGTTATAATCCTGGTTCTGCTACTCACTACCTGTGTGACCATCAGCACATCAAGTATTTAATTTTCCTAGACCGGTTTCCTCCTGTGTAAAATGAAGGGGTTGGGTCAATGCCTCAGTGGACTTCCTACTTCTAAATCCTTGCATCAATACACAGAAGACACAAACTTGTTCATCTGAGCATTAGTCACATTAAATACAGCATACACCTTTACTTCTTGCTGCTGCTATTTCTAAGATGAAAACAGATTTTATATACCTAATAACTAGAAAGGATATATAGATCATTAATAAATACTTATATATGTTAGGCTTTAAATGCTTGTAGAGCTGTGTAAAACAAAGTATGGCTATATGTAACTATAAACTATAGAACAACTATATAAACCGTAAGGCTCTGGTGTAAAGTTCAGTTCGGACACCACGTGGGTATGTTCACCAAATACCGGCTGCAATTTGCAAAAAAAGACAGTGCCAGGCATTTAGATTAGTTTGTCTGACCATCCTAGATTATACTCTCAATATTTTTTATTTCTATACCAATAAGGAAAAAGTGAATTAGTTTGTCATTTCTTGATGTAAATACATTCAATTCTTTTAACACGTTTTAAACAGAACACCTTAAATGCTAACTTTAACACCAGTTTTATATATTAACAAGCAACCAAAACAAAAAATAAACCCCTGGCCCTTAACAAGGGTTTATTACTTTTTTTTATGATTAAAATAATACTGGTAAGTTTCCAAACCATTCCCCTTAGGCTAAGGAACAATAATTAGCATCCTATTCTTTGTTGATATAATAAACTCTAATCCTGACTCAGACCTCTTTTACAGCAACGAAGGAATAGGTTTGCAAAGTATAAATGGATCATACTGAAGATCTGTGTCCCTTAAAAAGTATTAATAACCCAATTTTGTTAAGCATTTTACTTAAACAATTAAATCAGATACAATTACTATCACTACAGCGATTTCTGGCTATTTTGAAGGCTGTTTTTAAACAACTCTGTATAAACCTATGGCAGTGGTTCTCAAACTTTAGTATGCACCAGTCATCTAGAGGTCTAAAAACAGATGGCTGGGTTTCGCCTCAGTTTCTGATTTAGAAGGTCTGGGGTGGGGCCCAGGAATTTGCATTTCTAACACGTTTCCTGGTGATGCTGCTTCTGCCACCTGACAGACCATACTTTGAGAACCAAAGTTGTAAGAGAAAGAATAAAAAAAACTTAATCCTATTTTAAAAACTTCTTAACCCAGAATACAAAACTTTTTACCTTTCATGACTTTGACCCCTGGCTTCTATGGTCTCCTTTCTTCTCACACTCCATCTGGCCTATTGTGTTATTACATTATTGTGTGTCTTACATTGACTATTTACAGTCTGTGAAACCTAGATTCTCTCAGGTTTCCATGGCTTTGCAGAACTGCTCCCTCAGCTGCAAATGCTCATGGTTCCAATTCATCTGGCTATCTTTTACTTGTTCTTTAAGATGCTCCAATGCCACGTCTTCTGTAATGCCTTCTGATTTCCTAAGGTAGAACCAGTTATTCCATCTCTCCTGTGGTTCACAAACTTTTTATACTGCATAACCAGGAAAGCAGAACAGCAAATTCCAGCTCCTCCATATATTCACTGTGTGAATTCTGGAAAACTATTTAGCCTTTCTAGACCTCAGGTTTCTCATCTAAAATACGGGTTATACACCTCAATTCATAAAACTCCTGTGAGGATTAAAGGAGTTTAAATACTACTACATCTGTAACTCTTATCAGACTGAGTTCCTTGAGAGAGGTTCCTCATCTCCACCCACTCTGAAGAAGTGAACACAGTGCTTGGCACATAAGAGCTCAAAAGCAAATTGAAAGAGTCTGAAAGACTCAATATGACAGCAATTAGATTTGAAACAATTACTGGTTTATATTAGAAAGCCATTAAAATATTTTGAGTTTGAATAAATTCATAGTTCTCAAAGTATGGTCACTGGACCAGCAGTAGCAGCATCACCTGGGAACTTGTTAGAAATGGAAATATTTGGGTCCACCCCAGACCTATTGAATTACATACTCTTGAGGTGGGACCCTGGAAATCTATTTTAATAACTCTTCCAGGTGACTGATAGAAACTGAAGATTGAGAAACCGATTTATAATAAGGATATCAATATGGTAGTCTTAAATAAGCAAATAAGAGGGTATTCTATTTCAGGATCCTTGAACATGGTTTAAGAATATTATTTCAAAGAGGGTAAGAAGTTGTTTTCTATTGTGTTCAAAGTCAACATAGTGGTTTGGGCTTCACACTCTTAAAAATGAGAACGATCAACTGAAGCAGAATGAAAAATTTTCCTTTATTTGCTTCCTTGACCTAATGTTAAAGTTTTATGCCTTGCTTTCTTTTTTATTATTGCATTCACCACTCTATAACTTGATGGTTAACTTAAGTTCCTAAGACTTTGTAACTATTCTGGTAAACTATAAGTTCTATATAAAGGCAAGGGATAATTTGTAAAAAGAAACATTCTGTTTGATATAGGTCACTCTTTTAGAATAAAAACATACCATGATAAGTATTTACTAGAATTAAAAATTGTGATTATGGAGGAAATGGACAGAAATATAGAACTGTAGGGGAAAAAAGACAACAAGCATATAGCTATAGTATTACCTTTCATATGAATTTTTTTTTATTAGAATTACAGCCTCCCAAAGAACGAAATGAGCTTGAATTTAGTGGGGTTTTTTTCTTTTTTTAAAGATTTTATTTATTTATTTGACAGAGAGAGCAAGAGAGCACAAGCAGGAGGAGGAGCAGGAGAGGAAGAAGCAGGCTCTGCGCAGAGCAGGGAGCCCAATGCGGGGCTCGATCCCAGGATCCTGAGATCATGACCTGAGCCAAAGTCAGACGCTTAACCATCTGAGCCACCCAGGCGCCCCTAGTGTTTTTTATTATTTTATTATTATTTTTTTAAGTAATCTCTACACCCATTATAGGGCTCGAACTCACAACCCTGAAATCAAGAGTCACACACCCACTGACTGAGCCAGCCAGGCATCCCTGAATTTAGTGTCTAAATAAAGTCAGATTGCATAACTCTTTTGCCTTTTACAATCACATTCACAGGAAAAATAAAACTCAATTTATCAAGGTACAGCAAGATAGCTTGGCTTTCAATGCTGTTCATTTTAAAATTCATCCCAGGTGGCTCCCCATACCATAGTTTTTCTTCCCAGACCTTCTTCCTCTTATCTCAATAGATCACTTGGCAACCTCACTGAGAAGAGGCCAGATATGAACCTCTGGCTTCACAAATTCCCTACATTTTCATCTTTCTTAGGCTGTTTCATTCATGCTCTCAGCTCAAGGACTTTGTACAAAACATCTCCAGTCTCACCTCTCTAAAAATTAAAATCCATGAAGGTGAGGTTAGGCTAACTTGATCTCACTTAAAAAAAAAAAACAACAACAAAAAAACAAACTATGAGAAATCAACGTTTTTATCTTCATTAATGTGGACAGAGATATCATGGCTACTTGTTTAAAATAAAAATAGAGCAAATTTCTTCTCTTACATTTTGACTACTGTGTCTTCTGTTCTCCCCTCAACACAAATGCTAATTAACAAAGCAACAAGATAGAGGAAAAGAACACTTAAATGATTGCCCACTTTTGCAGGTACACATTACTTTAGCGAGTCCTTACTGCAAGCTTGAGAAAAAATCTCATCTTACAGTTGAGGAAACTGAAGCCAAGTAACTGACTCAAAGCACAATCAATGCTAGAGACAGAACTGAAACCTAGATTTAATGTCAAAACACATGCTTTTTCTACCTTAACAGTAAGACTGTGTGAAAGCAATAAGCAACTATCTCTAACAACCTAAGAGAAATGCAGACTTATGTATACTATGAAGAGTGCTTTAACTATGTACCAAGTGTCATTTGTGAAACCATAAGCATGGATCCAAAA